GTGATTAACATTCACAATCAATAAACTTTGATTAAAGCTGGTTATCCTCCATAATGTGGATGGGACTCCTCCAGTCAGTTGAAGGCCTTCAGAGAAAATACTGAAGTTTCCAGAAGAAGCAACTCAGTTGCAAGACTGCACCTTAGAAATGCAGCCTGAGTTTCTAGCATGCTGACCTGCCCTGCAGATTTCCAACTTGTCAGCCCACACCCACCCGCAGTCACACAAGGGAGAGAGAGGAAGAGAGGTAGAGAAAGAGAGAGAGACGTTGCCTTCCCGCAGCAGGAAGAACATGGACAAGCCTAAGGATGGACCTGGCAGAGATGTGGGAAGGCTAGTGGAGGTGGGGCTTGAGGAGTGTCAGCTCTGTTTCAGGGTGGCAACAGTTTGTAAAGCTTAAGCAATCAAACTGTCAAAGCATGCACGTGCACCTGCGTGCATACACACATGTGTGCACACACACACACAACATAAATGTATATAAAACCTGGTACAATCTGAATAAGCCCTGTTCATCGGACCAATGTCAGTGTCTTGGTTTTGATATTGTACTATATTATACGTAAGATGTTACGATGGGGGAAAGCAGAGTGAAGGTTAAGTGAAATCTCTCTGTATCTTTCTAAACTTTCTATGAGAATGTAATTATTCAAAATATAAGGTAAAAAAAAAAAACCTCCGAGCAGACTCATGACATATGAAAAATAGTAGCATGAGAGGTGGCCCCTCCTGTAACCCTCAAACCACCCAGCAAATAGGCAGCATGTTCCTGTCAGGTGACGCCCATAGACTCCAGGACAGCAACCCATGCCGGAGAACACACCAGCAGGGAACCCAGCAGAGGGTACCACCTCCCCCGACCCATCACGCTTATGTCCCCACCACCTTCCGGTGAGGAATTGCATATCCAGAGCCTGTGTGGTTGGGTTCTGAGTTCTATTCCCCGGTTCCAGTTGAGGCCCAGAACTGGCTAGAAACTACCAAGGCAAGCTCGTCCTTTCCTGGACAACTGCCCAGCTCCAGTCCAGACTAGGAGAGCACAGCCCACCAACAGAGCTTAAGGCACAAAAATTGTTCTGGAGCTGAGATTTGTTAAGACCCTGCCCACACTTAGCCCACCTGTTTATCTAAATCTCTTCTACCTTATGAATGAGGAGGAAAGTAGCCCCAAGATGCATTGGACTGTCACTGCCCTTAATATGCAAGGCAGATACACACCCGGATCCTCTTCCTCACCCCTACCACGATTTGCTCTCAGCTGTTCAGAGGAGCCTGCCTTCCACATACAAGTGTCCCAGAGGCAAGGAACAGTGGGGGCAGTTTGAGAACATGCTGGGCTCACTCACTGCAACCACCATCCTCCCTTGGTCAGAAGCCATGAATGTTGACAGAACTGACAGAAGGGGGGCATCACACAGAGGCTAGGGAAAGAGGACTCAAGATGAAAAGATTGTATATGGCACAATGAAGCTTTAGCCTCTTTTCTCAGCTCATTTGCTGTTCTACAATGAAGTGTCTAGAGGAAACATTTATCTCTGCCCTCCCAGCCCGGGAACACCAGCTCTCATTAACTTTCCAATTTCATCCCTTCAGAAGATCCAAGTTCAGATAATCCAATTTATATGTATTAAAAATTACTTGAGGCAAGTGTCCAAGGGAGTACCCCCTCTCACCCTCCCACCCCGGCAGTTCTCATATTACATAAGAAGGACTACTTAAAAAATGCAACCCACCATCTTTTATTTTGGTACATGAGTCTGAGGCACTTGTCTGGTGATTGAGAAGGCAGTTCTTAAAAGCAGTGGTTCTCCACCGGAGGCAGGTTTTGTCCTCCAGGGGGCATTTGGCAATGTCTGGAGACATCTTTGGTTATCACAACTGGATTGGGGGCACTGGGGAGCCTGCTGGGCCGAAAATGCTGCTAACATCCTACAAGCCCCACAAAAAAAAGGATTATCTGATCCAAAATGTCAATAGTACCAAGGTTGAGAAAACCTGCTTAGAGTTCTCTACAAGTTTACTACGTATATAACCTTTATCATTCATTCAGCAAACAAGCACTTGGAACTTAGCATAATATTCAGACAGTGTGCTAAGCCCTGAGGCTGGGAGCCTGCCTTACAGCATCCAGTAGAGGAATGGCAAAGGTATAAGGAAAATACAAGGCAATATGGAGCCTGAGTGAAAATACATATTAACACAGGGAAGGACATGCGTCCTGGGGGACAGGAAGAACTGATGTCACTTCCCCCAAGACAACTGCAAACTGCATATTCAGTCTCAGATATAAAATTAGATCTCAAATATAGAACAAATATAACATATAACTGCTGGGAAAGATCATCAAGCCCCTAAGCGCTTTTGAAGCAAACTGCCTTAATGTTTTTATATACATACACATCCTCAGAGAGAAGCAACCTACTGCTTTCTCTGTGACTTTGTTCCCTATTGAGATTATTTTCCTAACAGTGTTTTTCCAGTACCAAGATGTTTTACTTCCTTCTCCTGCCCTTAGTTTATTCTTCTATCTATACTTGTAAAATATCGATAAACATACAGTGCAATTCTGTAACTGCTAATCAGCTAAGGGATATGTATGTAGCTCTAGTATCTTTCCTTTGACAGCAGTTTGAATTGATTCACAGTTCTGTGGATGCACTTTCCTGAATGTCTGTCAGTTGGCCTCTCTTTTTCAATACTGAGTGCCAAATATGTAGCAGGGACAATTGTCTCCATACCTCCTGCTCCCATTTCCCAAGCTGAGAGAAGCTTGGGACAGCACAAAGGTGCTTGTGAAGAAGGAAAATGAGCATAAGAGAAAATGGCCTTTCCCCAGGAAAACGAATGGCCAGATCCAAGAGGGTTTGATCAAACAAAACTGCACCTTAGATTAGATTTGAAAGGCAAAATAGCCTAGTGATCATTTCCATGGCAGATACCACAGACAATTACATATCTTCCAGGTCAGCAATGTGGATGATAAAACTGTCTGGAACACCATCATTGACAAATGTGAGCTCATAGCTAAGCTGAAATTAAAACCAGTTATGAAACAGAATTATCACATGCCATATGCCCATGCACAAAATATTCCAGGCCATCTTACAAATTAAATCATTAACATACAGCTTTGAGGCTCTACTTGGTGAATACTTGTGCACAATCCTGGGCTGTCATTTTTTGTTTGTTGTTTAAGTCTGGGTTCGACTCTTGACTCTACCACCTTATAGTTCTGGGACCCAGATAAGTTAATATAACCTTTCTGAGTCTATATTTTTCCATCTGTGAAAGGAGGAAAATCATAGCTATCTCTCAAGATTGTCATTTGTCCTAAGAGTCTGGGTCCCCTGGGGAAAATACAGACCATGTCAATGGTCAGCAGCGACCACCCTGAGGGTTGGGAGAACAGAGGGCAGAGGTTGGAGTTATCACAACCTGGAGGCTTCAAAGAAGGGCCCTGTGGAGCTGAGGCACAGATTGCTGGGGATGGGGAATGTCTGCAGCAGAAACTGTCCTAACAGAAGCTTAGGAGCCCACGCAGCTGAACCTCCACTGATTCTGAGAAGGTGCAGAAAGGAGCTGGACACTGGAACCAATTGCTACTACCAGGGTGCCAGGCCATCTCCAGGTGACACTCTCAAGGACCAGCAAGTATGGAAGAAGGAGCAGATTCCTTCCCCTGCTCAGCCTCAGTCTCCCTCTCTCACCTCTGCGGGCAGATGGCAAAGGAGAAATGTGATTACGGAGAGCCCCATCTCTACACAGTGGACCTCGGAAGGCTGGATTTGGAGCTGAGGGACACATGGTCCGTTCATCCACTCGTTACCTACGCGTATGGGGTGCTTTCCATGTGTCTGACTGAGGGGCTCTGCGCTATGCACTGGGGAGTCTGGAGGATTAAACAGAAAGCTCTTATAAAGTGCACAGCTCAGTGATGAGGGCAACTCAGTTAAAATCAGTTCTCTCTAAGACCCAGTGGGAAACACAAAGGAAAAGGAAATAGAAACCAAACCAAAACAAACAAACAAAAACCCAGCTCCTGTCTTTCAGGAGTTTCATGTTTTAGGTTAAGTGTTGTAGGATGAGTCGAAGAGCAGAGTACAAAGTAATACATGTTCATACACTTTGAAAAAATATTTCAGACAAAACTACTTTAAGAATTCAGAGAAGCCAAAAAACATTTGGGGGATGATCAGGGAAACCCTCATAAAAAAAGATGAGAATGACCAAGACCTCACTTAGACCACAGCCGAAAGGGTAAGACCATTACACATTAAAGAAAGCGAGTGAGCAAGTAACCGTGGTGTGAATTTGCTGTGTGATTACCTGACCTCAAAAAATGGAGGATAGATTCATGATGTGGAGTACGGAAGGTGGGGCCAGTAGGACATTTCCTGACTTTATTCTGAGGGATAGATGAGCCTCTGGAGCTTTCTGAATGAGCAGAAGGTATGTGTAAAAGACATTATCTTTGCAGTCCCTATCATATCTAGCACAATACCTTGCATATAATGGACTGTCTGGGAAAAAAATTATTACATTGACTGAGGTGGGATGGGACAAAATTATAAAGGCAAGTCCTAACTTTGAAAATCTTCATACATTTCTCTCTTTTTAATTATGTAATAAATGCTTTATGAAATGTTTCAAATAATCAGTGAGCAATTTTAAGGCCAAAAGTTCAGGAACCACAAGAATTCAAGCAATGATAAAAATGTTAAGTAAGGGTATAACCCACCCATCAAGACCCTGTGCTCATTTCAGATTGAGAGCCTGCCATTGGAACATGGCATTGATCAACATTAACTATGGAGAGACTTGGAAGGATTATTGATGGCATCAGGAGTTTATGCAAAAACAAAGTGCTGGACAATATGTTTTTGAATCAATTTTAGTGATTCATGTAGGAAAAGAAATGATATCATTGGTGTGAATTTTTAATGGAACTTTGCAGAGCATACAATGTACTCACACCTAATCTGTTGTGTTCTTCTTGGCAGATCCATTACAAGATTTTGGCTTTTCTGTTGACCAGTGTTCTAAACATTTAAAGTCAAATCTCAACATTAGATTTGGAATCATTCTGAGTAAGTAAAGAATATTGACATGAAATAAAACATTGCACAATCTCTTCCTGGCCCACACACCGCAATTACTTCCATTAACTACAGTAGCTGGCTAAGTGGCTGGCTAAGCTACTGTCCCCACCACTCTGTGGACAACTCTATTTCCTTCTTCATTTTTACTTCTGTCTCTGGGTAACATCTAGATACAGTGGAACTCCCACTGAATGCTGTGCTCTTGTACTGAAAAGACTTGAAGCATTCATTTGGATGATATCAGCACCCAGAATCCGTAAATCCAACAACAACAAAAAGATAATACATCAAGCCTAAATATTGATGTCTATGTGAGAGAGAGCTTTTGCTTTGTTATCTCAGCAACAAACAAGTCTACCACCAGCAGTATGGCTTATCATTTAATTTATTTCATTTCTCAAATAGCTGGTGCAAGTTCTTAAACCTTTGACAAAGGGAAAAATATGTAATATCTTCTCCCTCCACCCCAATTAATGAGCTAGGATGCTGATTGTTTATTTTTATTTGGACATGACTTTACACTTAGTCATTATATTGCTATAACTACTAGAGTATCTCCCTTCTAAAGCAGTTTTATCAAAACCAGAACAGAAGGACTTAATAAACTTAGCGTGTGGAATCATTTCAGAGAAATGAAGGGAACGTTGCTGGCGACCAAGAACTCTCATGCATCTTCGTATTTCCAGAACCTTGCCCAATATCTGGATTCTATAGCAGCAGCTGAGTAATCAAAGAGGAATAAAAAGAGGAGTAGAAGGAACATAAAAGGAGGAATGGAGAAAAAGGCAGAGCACCCTAAAGCTTCCTGTGTAATATGATACAATATCTACCTAGCAACTGCGGGGGGGGGGGGTGACCCCACCCAACCACTCTTAGGAGAGGCACATAATACTGCAAATACTGCAGCTGGAAAGTTGTAGAAGCCGGACCTGCAGCCATCTCCTTGAGGGGCCAGAGCATCTGGGCAGAGAAGCACAACAGTGTGCCTACCTTGCTCCAAACAGATCAAGTTCATAAAAGGGCATATTCATACCTAGGTCTCCGGCCATTATCCCCTGTAGCATTGCTTACGTGCTGTTTTACAAAAAAAAAAAAGGAACGAAGGAACGAAGGAACGAAGGAAGGAAGGGGGGAGGGAAGAGGGAGGGAAGGAAGGAACAAAGGAACGAAGGAAGGAATAAAACTGTTCCCACAGGGCAGGCTTCTGGAAATAAAAGGCCTTTTGGCTCATGCTTCTATGAATGTTGAATGCTTTGATATGAAATTAAACCCACTCTAATAGTAAAGCCGATCTTTTCTTTCCCTTTAGGAGAAGACATCAAAGAGCTGTTTCTTGACATAGCTCTCTTCACTAAAGGATCATCCATTTTGAATTTCTCCTATCCCATCTGTGAAGAGGATCTACCCAAGTTTTCTTTCTGCGGAAGAAGGAAAGGGGGTAAGCTGTCTGTCTCGCTGACTCTTGCTAGGGTCCAGAGAGGGATGAGCAATGGCTTCCAGTTGAGGCTGGAGCCCTGGGGGTTCCACCCCTCACCATAGGACAAGCTTAACCTTGCTTATCAGCGTGTGTCATATAAAAATAACCATGAAGCTCATTTCACAGGACCTACCTTATATATTGAGTATAAATACTAAGTGAAACATGCATGTGAGACATTTTACAAATAGAAAAATGTTACTGTTCCTGGTGGCACCTTGCAAAAAAAAAAAAAGGGCTGGCATCATAAAGAACCAACAGCTTCCCCAAATCCACTGAGATGCAAAGTATCTCCAGGTTTCTCCTCAGCAATCTCTTTAGTGACAGGGTCTCCTCAGTATGGCAATGGACTCTGAGAAAAAGAAAAAAAAAATGAAGCTTTCTAAATGTCACTGTTTTATTGTGGTCTTGCCCAGTTGAGTCGTTGACTAATGGGGGCATTAGGTAGCTAGACTCAAAGTACACAGCATAAAACCATGACATCATCTGTTCCTTTTGTCAATTCACTAACTGCCTACCCCCGTGCTGTACATACCCCAAGGAATATAAGAACCTCATTCCAGCCAGTCCTCACCTCCTTCTGTGCCTTCTCCTCCCCCAGTATCTTCACCAAGGCCCTGAGATACCTTTGTTTATTTACCTAAAACATGGGTCTGATCTGTGACTATCCTTCCGGAAGTCACTCTCCTCCCCCTTCCCAGGGCATTCTTCCCTGTCCCAGGGGCCAAGGGGGAGTGCACCCCTTAACCCCACACACCAGAAACATCCGCTTATTTATTCCCTCATTCAAGGAAGGCAGAGTGTAATTACCCAATTGTGCTTTCTAACCAAAGGATCTAGAAGAAATTGGGGTTCCCTTCACATAACTAATGGGTGCAGACAGAGAAAGTTTGTGCAGGACAAGAAAACAGGAAATTTAAGAAAGTGCAGGCTCCCTGAAGCTGAGGCCTCAGCTCAGCCCTCCCTCCTCAACCTCTTCTCCGTTCCCCAAAGTGTGGGTGCATAACCATATTGGCACAATCATTTATTCCCGTTTGTCATCCTCAGTAGATGATGAGCTTCTTCAGGTTGGGGTAGGAGCATCTTGGTCTTTATGCCCAGGGCTTCAAATGTGCCTGCTACACAGAGAGTACTCAGTACTGAGCACTCTAGCATGCATGCAGATGGAAAGAGCCCGCACCAGTAAGCATTTGTGCCAGGCACTGTTCTAAGAGCTTCACATCCAGTCAGTCATTGACTTTCTACCCCAGCCTTGTGAGTTAGTACTATTAACATTCTAATGCCAAGTCACAGAGCTAGTGAGGGAGCCCTGGCTCAAACCCAGGTGAGCTGGCTCTGGGACCCACAATCTTATTGGCTAAGGAATGGATCAACCAAAGAAGAAACAAGAAACTGTGCCTTTTGGCCAGGAGTTTATTGTTTTTTAATTAATTTTTTTTTTGATGTAGTGTTCCATGATTCATTATTTGCATATAACACCCAGTGCTCCATGCAGTACGTGCCCTCTTTAATACCCATCACCGGGCTCACCCATCCCCCCAACCCCCTCCCCTCTAGAACCCTCAGTTTGTTTCTCAGAGTCCATCGTCTCTCATGGTTTGTCTCCCCCTCCGATTTCCCCCCTTCATTCTTCCCTTCCTGCTATCTTCTTCTTTTTTTTTTTAACATATAATGTATTATTTGTTTCAGAGGTACAGATCTGTGATTCAACAGTCTTGCACAATTCACAGCACTCACCACAGCACATACCCTTCCCAATGTCTATCACCCAGTGACACCATCCCTCCCACCCCACCCCCCACTCCAGCAACCCTCAGTTTGTTTCCTGAGAATTCCTCATATCAGTGAGGTCAGATGATACATGTCTTTCTCTGATTGACTTACTTCGCTCAGCATAACACCCTCCAGTTCCATCCATGTCATTGCAAATGGCAAGATCTCATTCCTTTTGATGGCTGCATAATATTCCATGGTATACATATACCACATCTTCTTTGTCCATTCATCTGTCGATGGACATCTTGGCTCTTTCCACAGTTTGGCTATTGTGGACATTGCTGCTATAAACATCGGGGTGCACGTACCCCTTCGGATCCCTTCTTTTGTATCTTTGGGGTAAATACCCAGTAGTGCAATTGCTGGATCATATGGTAGCTCTATTTTCAACTTTTTGAGGAACCTCCATACTGTTTTCCAGAGTGGCTGCACCAGCTTGCATTCCCACCAACAGTGTAGGAGGGTTCCCCTTTCTCTGCATCCCCGCCAACATCTGTCATTTCCTGACTTGTTAATTTTAGCCATCCTGACTGGCCAGGAGTTTATTTAAAGTCATCATTTAAGAACTCTTTTTGGCCAGTGATCTGACTTTGTTTCAAATAGGGACATTTTTCTTCCTAGCTAACCTACCATAGACTGGTGAGTCAGTTTTTCTCTCTGAACTTACTAGAAATATTTTTGATTGATTGGATACATTTGTATCGTTCCTTGGCATGGTGAACTCTTCATGAGTTGGTCCCTAGTTAACCTCTTCTATAGCCAGTGTCTACAGTTTTATCACCTGTCTTTTGCTTATCTTTCCAATTTTTACCCAAAATAAGTGTTCTTGAACCAAAATGTGGAAACAAGTACACTTGGAAGCGCTATGAACTTGGTAAGAAAGAACGAATACTGTGCCAACCTTCATTTGTACTTCCTTCTATTTCCTGAATCAAGTCTCCCTTGCTCCCTCCTGAATGATGGAAATGGGGTCCCACTTGATTTTCCTGCCTCCTTACTGCTGGCAGGGCAGTCTTCTCAAACACAGATCTGATGGGACTGGAGAAGCAGACTAGACTCAGCCAAATGAATCACTCCCTCTGGATGTTCCTGGAGCATCACATTCCTACTTATCTCAGCTAGAATCACATCCTATTGTGCGTGTGTGTGTGTGTTTCCCTCCTTAAACTGTGAACTCCTTGAAGGCAGGAATATTCTTGCTCCCCTCTGTCACTGGAGACTTAGCAAAGAGAGCCCGGCACAGAATAAAGATGCAATAAATGTTATTTTATTGAATTTTTATATGACAGACTGAATGCAATATACCAGCTCACCTTAAAAGTGACTATCTAATGATGCTTATACATGCCACAAAGATAAAAGTGCATCAAATCCTAGCAAACAGTGAATTATCTTGGTCCTCCGAGTTTAATAAAACCCGTTTTTTCCCCTATGAATAGTTTTAATAGAATTAATAAAACAGAAGAGATTTTGTTCCCCCAAACCGAGATGGCCAATTCAGTTCAGCAGCTCAGAAGGGCAGTGCTTTCTTTATCTGAATGCCGGGCAGCCCTATAGCTATTTATTTGCTTTATTGCTGCAGGGCTAAAACCTGCATAGGCAGCCTGAGAAGCCAGCACTTGGGGAATTGCCAGGAAATTTCATATAGTATAAAGCAATCACAAAACTGATATACAAACGATGCATGAACAAATAATTATGTAAATTATATAAGCCAGAAAAACTAACATCTTAAATTTAGAGGCTTCTTGGGTTATTACATTTTTCTTTAACCCACCCACAAACCTATTGCAGGAATGATTCTATTGAAAGAAGTGATTAATTTCTAAGACCGGAGAGGGGAAAAGTGGAGAACTGAAGCCAATTCAAACCCAAGCACGAGCTGCTGTTGACGTATTAAGGAGGAAACAGAGTCCCTCTGGGGTTTGCAGGTCCTTAGCAGAGCAGTGAGAAAGCTTGGTATCTACTGCAGGTGGCACACGAAGGTGTTTGATATCATTTGTTTGCTATCATTTCCAAGGCATTACTATGCATTCCTCTGCACCTTGCACCCTGCTGGTTGTTCTCCAAGCCAGATAAACTACAAAATGGGTCAGGCTTACTGAGACTGCATGGATAAAATGTTGTATCCTTTCCTTCTGCATCTTTCCCAGCTAGCTCTAAGGCAGGAGCTCATTGGATTGAAAGACCAAGCGATGTTCTTTTGGCATTAGCTATTATGGTGTGATTAGCAGTTTGAGGGCAATAGCCTATATGTCCAGTTATAGGGGATTGATTAAGCAGATCATTGTTCAGCCAACCACAGGTTAGATGTGCTGTGCTCTTAAATGATGTTGCAGGAAATTATTAAATTACTTGAAAATATACTCAAAAATTTTGTGAATGACAAAGAAGCTTGCATAAAAGAGTACTCACTATTAGATACTGTTTTTAGTAAAATGTGCTAAGTGCATGCACCATCGAGCTCTGAAATAGTATACACTTAGGTGCTAATCGTGGTTATCTCTAAGTGGTGGAACTACAGATCTTTGTTCTCATCTTTTTGGAAATCTCTTTTGGTTTCATAATAAATTTACAAGGTTATTCTTTTCTTTTTTTAACTTATTTTTTATTATGTTATATCATCACCATACAGTACTTCATTAGTTTTTGATGTAGTGTTCCATGATTCATTGTTTGTGTGTAACACCCAGTGCTCATTGCAATACGTGCCCTTCTTAACATCCATCATCAGGCTAGCCCACCCCCCACCCCCCTCCACTCAAAGAACAGATGGGATGAATTCTCTTATTCCTCTTCCTCTTTTCAAAAAGAATCATCACCTACTTAATATTCAACGATATTTGGAGTTAGAAAGTTCTGAGTCAACCTGTGGCATAGAATGCCAAGGGATCTTTCAATATCCATTCCAGATTTTTTTCTGGGATACTCACATTCCCCTTTACCCAGCTGTGGGTTCATTGAGAAGGAACCAAAGCAGGTCACTGTTTTACTTTGTTCTCTGTTAATGTTCCCTTCCTACCTTTCTTGCCTTTGGTGGTATTGGGTCATGTAGACTCATTTGCTTTACTTGATCTTGATGCTCTCAAATTGACATCAGTTTTTAAGACTACACTGGGATTTAATTGAATGTCCTAATGACCACACCTGATGACTACCCCTAAGGAGAGAACAGTAATGTCAGT